AGAATAGCTTCCCACCGGAAACCGGCTGTAAAACGGAAGGGGAAATGCCCATAGAGTAAACAGAGTAGTGCAGTTAAAAGGTGCCTGTATTTTCCCACACCACACCCTACATTCCCAACCTCCCTGTGGTTAAACTGGTCGCTGCACTTTTTCCCCAAGACAACCCACAGATTTTCATCACACAGCCCTTTTAAAATGCCGTTCCTATGCCTGCAGTGTCCTCCCTCCAGCAGCTAGCTACCTGTTGAACATGTTTGTTCTTCACCTGTTCTACTAAATGTAATTTCATCCACTTTGGTGTGCCTGTACCATAGTGCCCCTCAACAATGGAGACAGTCAACAAATGCTTGTTCAAAAGAAAAAAAAGAGCTTGTTCAGTGTTACTAGTTCTGAAATTGTGATTAATATAGCTATAACTATGGGCAATTCCCTTCCCTGGGGTTTCTCTTTCCTGCTCTGGAAAGTGAGACTATTAAAACCTGTCTCTCTTGGCCAAATTTGTGTAATTCAATGAAAAGTGAATGTGGAAAGCATAGTGAATCTCAAATTTTAGGTGAGAGGAGAGTAAAGTAATATATTACCAAGTGATTAGTTCAATCCACAAGATAGTCCGTGGGGGCAGCAACAAGAGAAGATATGAAAAGAAACCTAGAAGGATGTATTCTCTTTCTTTCAACACAATATTTATCATTACAGCATAGAGTAAAGGCTAAGAAGAAACCAGAAGAAGAAAAGACTAAGAAAGGACCACTAAACTTGGAGACCACTGCATGTAATCACTGGTTATTTCACTGGAAGGATCAAAGCTACACACAAGTAAAGGTGATAGTAGATCATGTGGAAATAGAGTTAACACATGTAGACTTCTTCTTGAAGATGTTCCCTGTTGACAGGGCATACCAGGGGGGGATGTAAGGGGGGTGTCAACAAACCCAGGGACAAGGGAACAATTAGTGATCAAAAATCAATGGTGGTGAGGGCATAGGATGCCTGGTGGGGCTTGATCAAGGACAATGTAGCCAAGAGGAATTACTGACACCCAAATGAAGGTTGAGCATGATAATGGGACAAGAGGAAAGTAAAAGGAAATTGAAGAAAGAACTAGGTTAGAGGTCTAAATACAGATATGTACATATGTAAATATATTTATAAGTTAGGGAAATAGATCTATGTACACATATATATGTTAAGTATTAAGGTAGCAGTTGGACATTGGGTCTCTACTCAAGTACTTCCTCAACACAATAAAATTTTGTTCTAATAACCGGCATTCTATGATGTTCAACTTCCTGACATCATTGAAGACAAAATGAGTACATATGCAAATTTGGTGAAGAAAGCTGATGGTGCTTGGCTATCAAAAGATAAAGTATCTGGGGTCTTAAAGGTTTGAAGATAAACAAGCGGGCATATAACTGAGAAGCAACAAAGTCCACATGGAAGCATACCAGCCTGTGTGATCATGAGGTGT